ATTACCGATTCCGTGTATGGAGTGTCCGGGAAGTATTTTTCCGGAATGAAAAATAGTATAATTCGCTGAACGAGTTGCACTCCAGAAAAATTCATAACACCCAAGTACAGGAAAACACCAAATAACGACGCAAGAGGAAGCCGAAGATACGAGCCGCCGAACGCGAACAATCCCATGAGCAGTGATACACCAATTGTTGTCACTCGCTGCTCGATTACGTAATCCACTTCTGCAGCCAGAAAATTTAGCTCACGCAAAGGCTGCTCAAATTGCTTAATCGGAAGAAATATATAAGTTTAAAGTTTCTGAACTGGTTTAGCTTGTAAATCAAACCTGGGCGTTCACCGGGTGCCGTTTTTTTAGGAACACTAAGAGAGCCGCAGTGCGCAAGTGACTGGACAGCAGCAGCGCACATCCATGGTAGCCCAAAAATGCTGCAAAGTAAAGTGCATATGCCCATCAACAGCAGATCCCAGTGTAGGCCTGATCCTTTCACCAGTCCTCGATCTTTGCGAGACAACAGCAGCCTAAATTGCTCTTAATAATTTATCAGACACAAAAAAGTGTCAAATACTCAATTGTCACAAAGAAATTTTCAATGGATGCCCATGTGCAAAAACAAGTATTTCAAAAGTGTACAAATTATCCGACGGAAAGAGAGAGCAAGTTGGAGTGGTGTGACTCATCGATTAATTGATGCCCCTCAGCCAAAATCACACTTAGCAGTCGCCCAAATCTATTGTTTTAGAATCGATCGTAACGTTCTTAATAATTTTTCATTTTCCATGCAGCTTAAATACACCATTTAATTGATTCTCATTCTTCTTCTGTAGAAAAGATGTGTCGTATGGTTCAATTTTACTCGCATTTTATGCGTTTTTGCTATGTAGCGCTGCTAAAGCCAGCAAAAACGCACATTGTCGAGAGGCTGTCTGTGTGTGTGTGTTCGGAAGCGAGTGCATTTTGTCACCTACTTTCATCTCAACAACCAGGAAAGCTGGGAAGCTGAAGGTTTGGGTGTATGTTCCTACCCCGTGT